CCCGCCCGCGCCCGCGGGGCCCGCGCGCACTCACCTGCGCCGAGCAGCCGGGGCACGGCGGACGCCATGGCGCGGAGGGCAGGACGGGCCGGGACGCGCCTCCCGCCGCCGCCACCGCTCCCCGGCTGCTCCGCGCAGCGCCGCCTGCCGTCCCGGAGGAGCCCCTGCAGCTGGGCCGCGCGCCGGCTCCCTCGCCCTCCGCACCTCCGGACAGTCCGGCACCGCCTGCCGCTGCCCCAGGGAGCGTCCCGTGGGACGGGGCGCGCCCGGAGTCCGCATGAAGACTCCGGGCCGGGGACACGACGTCTGGGCCCGCGGCGCCCAGGCGCGCAGTGAGCGGCCACGCGGAGCTGGCGCTGGGCAGTTCGCTGGTGAAGCGCGAGGCCCGGGGCCCCCCTGCAGGGAGGGGACGGCAAGGAACGCGGGCGTCGCCCCCACCCCCCACCGCTTCCGGGCGCGGCGCCTTTAAGGCCGGGCCGCCGGGGTCACGTGACCCCGCCGTCGCCTGGCAACGGGACGCCGCGCGGCCTCCCGCGGTCTTCCGCCGCAGCCCCGAGCGCAGGCGCATGGCCCAGGCGGGCCCTCGAGCGTGCGCGGCGGCAGCGGAGCCCCCGGCCCCAGTACCCCCGGCCCCCCCGGCCCCCCCGGCCTCCCCGGCCCCCGCCCCCCCCGCGCTCCCGCAGAGGACCAGCGACTGCTACCGCGTGGACGACGACCTGCCGGCCAGGTTCAACAACCCGGCGTGGTTTCGGGGCTACGGGTGAGGACGGGGTCCCGTCAGGGGCCGCCTGACCTCGCAGGGGCTCGGGCGGAGGCTCCGCTCGCCAGGCCTGGACGCGGGCGTCCCCAGGTCCCTAGCCTGTCCTGGAGCCCAAGTCAAAGGGGGGTCAGCCGTTAGCACCCAGTGAGTGAGAAAGTGCCCGAAGCTGCGGGCGCCCCAGCGGGGTCGGGGTGGGGGCTCCCAAGGGCAAGGGTGGCCAGGAAGCCCCGCACCCCGCTACTGGGCCCAGCCCCGCGCTTTTGTGCGGGGATAAGCCTCGGTCCTCTAGGTCGCCTGGAGCCTCTGCGGAATGGGAATCGGCGACCCCCCACTGTCCCCTGCAGATCTCAGACCGCACAGCGGGGAACCCGTCACCGCCCTGCCGTCCCGCACCCAGTCCCCTCTGCAGCGTGGGCGCGAGGCCCCCTCCTCATCCTTGTTTCCCGAGAGAGGCCGCTGGGGCACGGAAGGACAGCGTTTGCCCAAGGTCCGGTGGCCCAAGGCAGAGCTGACCTGGGAAAAACAGCCTCTCCGTTAAACTCTGTGGGCATGAGAGACCGTGGGCGTGTTCCCCCAGACGCTCAGAAGTGGAGGGTCGAAGGAGAAGGGTCGAAAGGTCGGGGGCTGCGTTTTCCTTCCGGGAGGTCTTTGGGACTTTGCCCCCCTTGGGGAAGAGCTGGGGTGGCCTCGAGCAGGGGAGGCTGAGCCGAGCCCCACGGGAGCCCACCTGCACAGCCGCATGGCCACCCTGGGGCCTTCCCAGCAGAGCTCTGCAACCAGACGTTCTAAGGCTGCGGTCTGGGCGTCCTTAGAGTAACTGAAAACAGGCTGTTTCTCACTCGCCAGGACCCAGAAGGCCATCTCAGTGTACAGGACCAGTAACGGTGCCTACGGGAGCAGAGCCCCCACTGTGCACGAGATGCCGGTAAGTGGGAAGCCTGTGGGTCCTCCGAGCCTCTCTGGGAGGAGGCTGCCCCCCCCCCCCCGGATTCCTGGGGAGGGCAACACACCCTGAGGGGGTGGTGGGGAGGGGCCCCAAGTCCCAGCATCCCAAAGCGGGAGGGGGCACATCCGATCCTTCCCGAACAGGGCAGAGGAGAAATAAGTGAGAGAGCAACTTCGGCAGTGAAAGCTTTTACCGATCAAAAAGGTGTGTGCGGACTGGTGAAGCTGTCCCAGGAGACTGGCCCCGGTCACACGCGGACTGGTCAAGCCGTCCCAGGAGACTGGCCCCGGTCACACTCAGACTGGTGAAGCCGTCCCGGGAGACTGGCCCCGGTCACACGCAGGCACCACGACCTCTGGCACCTTAGGGCAGTGAGTTCTGAGGCCAAGAAGAGAACAGCTGCTTTCTTTCTGGAATAATACTTGATTTTAATTAACCTGTCACCTTAAGAGGCAGTACCGGCCCATATCCCTGGTTGCACAAGCGCAAGGCACATGGGTGGACATGGGGACCTGTGCACCTTTGTGGACTCCCCACCCCCCTTTTTGAGGTCGACTTCACAGTCTGGAGATCTAGAACCCCCTTCTAAAGTCCTCCTGATGCCCCTCTTGGGCCAGGTGGAGGGCCAGCAGACGTGCACGGGCAGCCCTGGATACCCAGGACAGTAGCGACTCCCATTTTGGGGCCTCACTCCACAAGGGCATTGTCTCCCCACTCCCCTGGGCTGGTGCGGTAGGGGCATCAGAGACGTTTTAAAGCCTTAAAGGGATTCGACCCTGCAGTCAGGGTTGAGACTCACGGATGGCTCTTACAGAAGAGAACACTGAAGTTCAGAGAGGTCTGGTCACTTCTCCGGTTGGTAGGAGCAGGACCCCGGGGGTCACGTGGGGCAGACCATCCTTCTGTCCGCCCAGGGGGAACACAGGCACTGTCAATGATTATTCCCAGACCTCGGGTATAAACCAGGATGGTCCGGGGCGAACTAGGCCATCCCCCTCATCCTGGCTTCTCTGCTTCCTAGGAACCGAGATGACATTTTCTTGCAGATTCTTACTTTTCTTCCAGAAATGCCTGTCGGCTGACTACTCAGGGACATTCCAACACCCCATTAATCCGAGTGTCCCTTTTCACTTACAGAAAGTATTTTATCCAAATTCGAATAAATTTTCCAGACAACTTGCAGCTGGTGGGATGTTCCGGAACAATACCTTCAACGTCTCCATGGAGAAGAGCATTGTGACGGGTCCCGACAACTACATCACCCCCTACGACCGGTTCAACTTCCACCCCAGTTACAACGTCAGCAAGCCGTCCATCTGTGACTGGCCGGCCTCCTGACCCCGGCGGGGCGTCTGAAGTGTCACCCTGCTCTCTCATCATCTGCCCAGTTGTAGGACAGACTTCACTGCTTTCACTGAAAACGTTTTTTCTCTTAAGATTAGAAAAACACGCAGACAGGGCTGTCAGGCCCCCTTAGTTCTGTTTTATGTCTAAGTTGGAAAAGATGCTAATGACTTGACTTTTCATTAAAAATGTTGCCACATCCTGAATTCCTGACTCACCGGGAATCAGGGAGCAGGACCGTCGACGTCCTGGACCCCGCGTCGTGGCCTGATGCTGGGAATGTCTGGGTAGCCCTCCCTGTGTCTTTCCTGGGAGCCGTCTTATACTCATGTCAAGTGATGGAGTGGGTTTCGGTTCCAAAGCTCCCTGGCGGAAATCCGCACCAACTCTGGGAGCCACAGCGGGAGGGTTGGGTGCCCCGCTCGGGGGCCTAGGGCGAGGACAGAGGCTGCGTGAGGAAGACCCACAGGAGCACCGTCGCTGTCCCTGACCCAGGCTGGCCAGCTTGGAGTCCTGGCGAACGCCCCGCAGCCACTGAGGGGCAGGCTTGGGAGGCCAGATCTGTGGAGGCGGTGATGTGTACGTGGGACTTCTCTCTGGGGGTTCACTTTCAGTTTTCAGTACAAAGTTAAAAAACTAGCAGGCAGGGAATGACACACTTCTCTCTGTAGTTCCTGATCCACGTTTGCTAGGATGTACAGAGCGGGTTCTCCAGGAGGAGAGTTTTTCTGGGCCGGTGTCTTATCTTTCAGACCCCGCTCCCCACCTTCCTTCCTGAGAGTACGGTGTGTTTGTTGTGGGAAGCCTGGGAAGCACGGGCTCCTGGCGATGTCATTGTTCCCTACCACGGATTACAACCCAGCCACGAAAATTTTTGTCCCATGAAAGTGGGAAGAGATTAAAACTCGTGCTTGCTTATTTCTTCATTAAAAAGTTTTTATTATTAATATGCAAAAGTAAACATTTCGGCAATACTCTTAATGTCCAATTTGGGATGGAAATATTTTCCACAGAAAATCAAACACTCTTTTTTTAAAAAAACATTTTATTAATTTTTTGACAGAGAGAGACACAGTGAGAGAGGGAACACAAGCAGGGGGAGTTGGGAGAGGGAGAAGCAGGCTTCCCGCCGACCAGGGAGCCCGATGCGGGACTCAATCCCCGGACCCCTGCTAAGGAGGTAAAGCCCGATTCTGGTGTCCTTAACGGGATCCTCTACATAGAACAAGGGTATGGAAAACAGAAGTACCTTTGATAGAACATCTATGCCTGTCTTCCCGAAGAACCAGGAGCGTCTCCAGCTCAGGCTCCCGGCGTCTGGGTCCTGCGGCCGGGGCAGTGGCCCTGCTCCCGTCTGCCCACTAGGGTTTTGGAGGATTTTGACATCATCACTTGGGGCGAGCCCCAGCCCTGCAGCCCCTGGGTTGGAGCCCACCTGGGGTGTGCCCAGGCAGGTGCGGCTGCGGGCTTTGGACCCTGGCCATTTTAGCACGTTTTCTGCCTGGAATCTTGATGCGTGAGCGGGGAGAAGGGTATGTGGGTGGGCGGGCTCATGGAGGGTAGCAGGAAGGCGCCCTGGGTTCCCAGTCAGCTTGACCCCCCGGGGGTGCTGTGGGGGGAGGGACCCCTCCACTCTCTGATGTGGGTCCTGACGTCTCGAAGTTCTCGCCGTGGTCAGAACAGTTAGCAGAGCGGGGGGCGCAGCATCTGCGGACAGCATGGCCAGGAGAGGTGGTCTTCACCCCCGAGGACACCTGGCCGTGTGGGGCCGATTTTTCCCACCATGAGATGAAACCCTGAGAAACAGGGCTTCCGAAGACCTCACTGACTGGTCCCTCGGTGCGGCCGTGTGTGGGTGGAAACGGCGACTCGGGACACCGGACGCGTGTTCGCACGGACGCTGTAGACGTGTCCCCAGCGGCTTTCCGCCTTTCAGTTAAAGTCACTCGGAATAAGCGGTTCCAAACAGATAGGAAATTTGTCAACACCGGGGAGCACCTCTCTGTCGAGAGCACGGAGAAGCAGAAGCCCCACGGATCCTGCAAATAAACTGTTCCCCGCTCCCAGTCGGCCTCGCCCAGAGCAGCCGCGGCTGTGGTTTGCAGACGTCAACGGTGGGGGCCTTCGGCAGGCCCTTCAATTCATGTGGAGGGACGGGGAATCAAGGTGCAGTGACTTTCCTGTCTTTACAGGGGTGCGTACGGGGCTAGCAACTTAAAGGCCTGGATCCCCAGGGCAGGTGTGCCTCAGCTTGGGAAAACCTGCTGACAAGTCAGATTCGGCGCCTCGGCAGGTGCGGGCCGCGGGCATCCCACCGAACCGACAGCCCCCCCCCCCGCCTCCCAGACACCTGTGCCCATTCTTTCCGGAAAGATGCAGTGAGTCCCAGGATGCCCTATGGGAAAATCAGGCCTTTCCCCTTCTTTACATTAAATGAAGGAACCCCGTAGCCCCGGACTCACAGACTACTCCTTCCCGGAGACGGGAGGGGGCGGCTTCCCAAGGATCAGTTTGACTTGGTAAGACATCATCTCTCCAACTGCGTGGGAGGGCGGGCCCCTGGGGTCGGGAGCTGCAGCTCCCCGGACTCTGCTAATTCGCTGTGGTGCCAGGCTCCACTCGCTCCCCCCACCGCAGCCCTCCTTCCAGACAGGCTGAGGGACGCCTCTGGGCTGGCCCCAGCATGCGCCAGAGGTGAGCTGGGGTGGGGGCACAGAAGCAGGAGGGTGACGGGGGTCCCGGGGATGGGCCCGCACTGCCCAGGAACTACGTAGCATGGGGGTTGGCCCCGTGGGGGTCACGGGAACCCGGGAGGCAGGAAGGAGGCAACTGCAAAGGGAGCCGGGTCTGGGGGAGACCCAGCAGGGGCGAGGGGTGCCCAGGGCTAAATGCACAGGTGGGCCCCCTTGACATCACCCCACAAAGGCCAGTCCAGGGAAGACAAGCTTTGAAAGCCGATTCGTGAGCAGTGTTTGATTTATTAGCGTTTTTAAAAATCCGGTTCTTATGTACAAAACAAGCTGATTTTTGTTTTCAAGTGTGAAGACCACTCTTTAAAAATTAAACTTAAAGCATAGATTACACGAATTGAACTGTTTTCCCCCGGAAGCACCTAAGTGAGTAAGAACCGGACGGGCGCTGGCAAAGGCGCCCGCACGCGTCCTGGGCAGCTGCGGCGTGGGTGCGGGAGTGCCGTGTGGCTAAATCCCGGAAAATTCACTCGCGTGTTCAACGCCGGCTAAACTGAGCTGCAAAGTCAACCTTGCTCTGAGTCCAGCACAGCCAAACGGCAGTGGAGAGCCGTGAAGACTGGGGTCACTGCCGGAAGTCTGCTGGACTGCCGCACGGCACCGCCGTGACCGCTGAGCGCCCACCCCGTGGGTTGCCTCTGAGCAGAAGGCATGGGGAGCCCCGCTCCTCTCCACCCGGCAAGGCCCCACAGCTCAGCTCAAACACACCTTGAGGCCGGGCGCCCCGCCCGTGACCATGCACCGTGTGGGGCCAGGCCCTGGTCCTGCCTGGGGAAGGCAGGCCCTGGGAAAGCCACCAGGCGTGTCTGCTGGGTGGTGTGAGCCCACCTTGATGAGGCCCCGATCCCGGGAGGGTGCAGGGCCTTGTGCCGGGCGCTTGCAGCGTTGGGGACCAGAACCGGCCAAGTGGCTCAAGCCTTGTGTGTTCCAGTGCCTGGGCCAAGAGGAGGACATTGAGAACACACAGGTTGTCTGTTACCCTTCGGATCTGTGACTAAGACTGGAGAACAGTGGCTCCCATAAAAAAGAGCTTTATTGAGCCGCTAGAATCACACAGGGGTCGCACGGGGCTGGGTGTGAAACACCACGGGCTCAGGTGTGGACCTCGTGTGCCACCGAGGCCTCCCGTGGCATTTCCACATGCAACAGGGGACGGCCAGTCGTGCGCTCGCTGGCCTTTGTGCTTTGAGATGTTTTCCAATTGAGGCCACAAGTGTAGAGTCCGGAGGCCTCACTCTGGCCTCGTGGGCCCAGGGGCCTTTATGTTAAATTGCTGTCCAGCAGCTTCCCAGCGGAGACTTCTGTGGGTGCCTTTGTGACTCTCAGGGCGGGCCGGTGGCGACTGCTACCTTCCCCGGGCGCAGCCAGCCCTTCCCAGCCGCAACTGCCCTGAACTATCAGAGTCAGATCACGTCACCCCTGGCTACGATGGTCCCATGTCCACTCGTCTCACGCTCGCCTGGACACCATGGAAAGCCGCGGCGAGGCCCGCCCTACAAAATCGAACAACGGTTAACTTCCAAAAATATTTTTTACAGCACTTTAAATAATTTACAAAAAAGCTACAAAAATCATATATTCCAGGACACATCCGTTAAATAACACCATCGCTCCCAGTGCACGGAGTATATACAGGGCGGCGCAGAGCGGCCTCTGTGTTCTGTCCCGGGGTGGGGAGTGTCACGCACACGCAGGGGCACAAGCGGGTCTGCTTCCCAGGAAGACGGAGCCCGCGAGCGGCCTCATGGCTGGAGGGCTTTGCCCTTTGCCCCCGAGCCACCGCCCTCCTCCACGGAGGTGTCACTGAGCTCGCTGGAGTCACTCCCCAAGGCCTCCTGGGCCTCACTGCCTCCACCGGTGGCCCCCCGCCTGTACCGCAGGTCTAGAACGTCCTCCTCGGAGCCCGAGTTCCTCCTGGCGTGCAGACCGCACGCCGCCTGGGACTTCCGGCCAGGCCAGTGTCCCCCCTCTTTCTTTGTGAGCAGGGGTGCGCTTCCAAACACGGGGCTGTGGCCGGCTGGGGTCTCCCTGAAGGCTGAGAAGGCCGGGCCCTGCAGGGGCAGACTCAGGGGTGGGCTGAAGACGCCGGCCTGCTTGTCGCCCCAGGAGACGCTCTTTCCAAAGTGGAACAGCTGTGTGGACAGCAGCGATGAGAAGCCCGTGAAGGGCAGGCCTTTCTTGGAGTCCTGGCCCTCCGGCCCCTGCTCTCTCTGGCCGCCGAGGCCCCCTCTCCACACAGCCTCTCTGCCTTCTGGGCTCAGCGCCCACGTGCTCTGCAGCCGACTCTGGTGGGCGAAGTTGGCCCACGGGAGGGCGAGGCTGGCCTGCGGGCTCCCTAGCCCATCTGCTCCCGGCTTCTGAGTCCGTGGGCTCTGGCCCTGGGTCGTCACAGCAAAGGCCATACCGGGGCTTTCTGCCCGGGGGCCCACTTCAGCTCGAGCAGGCAGCGAGCCAAGAGCACGTTCCCTGGCACGCTCGGTCCCTCTCGGGCTCTGATCTTTGTGGGTGCAAACCAGTCTCCGACCAGCAGCCGACCCTTTGGCAGACAGGGCCCCCGCCATGCTGGTGTGCCTGGCCACGGCTCTGGGGAGGCAGGCCTGCTCTGTTCGGGGGCCGCTCCTCCCGCCCGGAAGGAAGGCTCTGCCCGCACCCCCCGGGCCTCCGGCCCGTTGAGGACCGCCCCTGCCCCGCTGGCTCCGCGTGCACACACCGGGATGAGGGGTCAGGGTGGGCACCGGCCCCTTCCGGCACGGCAGCTCTGGCCTAGGCACGCTCCCCATCCCTGGGGCGGCTGGGCCCCCTCCTGGGGCTTCCGAGCTGTTCCCGGACTCCTTGGCCTTTTCGGCCAAGAACCTCCTGATCTCTAGCTCGATGCTGTCATCGCTGTCCACAGAGCTGCTGTCCTCGGGCGGGGGCTGAGGGCCGGCGGCTGCACCGTGAAGTTCGCAGGGGGTGGCTTCACAGAAGAACAGATTCCCTTCAGACGCCCTTCTCCGGAGCGGGAGGGCCGGGGCCACATCGCCGGGGCCTGCGCCGTCTGCTCTGGTTCTCTCCGGGTCTCTGCAGGAGATGCTCAGAGCCTTTTTCCCCAGGTTCTCCCTGTTGTCTTTTTTGGGCTTCGAGAGGCAGCTTTTCAACAGATGGGGGCTTCTGTCCGTCCAGTCTCTCCGCAAGCCACCGAGTTTATGCAAGAACTGGGGCTCGGTGGTGCTGAACCTGACCTTCCTCTTGCGTGTGGCCCTGGGGTCCCTCCACCTCTTCTTGAGCCTCCGCCTGGACCGCAGGAGGTCCTTGATGGCGGAGTCCAGGTCCTCATCACTGTCCAGGGAGCTGCTCTTGTCCTCAGAGCTGCCCCGCTCACCAGCGCTCGGCGCTGGGGCCATGTTCCCATGGCCGGGCCACACGCTGCCCCCGGGGCCACTGTGCTGGTCGCCCACCTCACGGGGCCTGCGGGGGATGGGCTGGCCCTTGGTCTGGCCTTCTGCCCTGGGGGCCTGGCCAGGCTGTGCGCTCGCTGGGCTGTGGTCAGGATCCCGGGCGCCCTCCTGCACCATCTCTCTCGCTTTCTTGGGTGTGGACAGTGGCCTGGCGTGGCTGCCTCCTCTGCGTTTCCTTTTGCAGCTCAGCGACAGGTCCAGCGTTTTAGAGCTGGGGACCCTAGGGCCAGGTGGCGGTGCTGGGCTCAGAGTGGTCTGCGGGCAGCTCTCCGCTCGGGCCAGCCAAGCTCCTGACTGTGCCTTCAGAGCCAGGAACGTCCGGATTTCCTGCTCTATGCTGTCATTGCTGTCCACGGAGCTGCTGTCCCCATCGCAGCGGGAGGGCACGGTCAGGGGGCAGGAGAGTGGGCCGGTGGGCAGGGGTCTCTCACTGCCCACTGCAGGGGCCGGCAGGATGGTTTTGGAAATGTCCAAAATTGCTTCGGCACACATCAGCTCAGCGGACGTATCTGCCCGGCATGGCGGCCGTTCCGCAAGCTCGTTTTCAGCAGCTCTGGGATCTCTGGGTGGCTTGGAGGGGTGGGCAGGGTCAGGGCCACCTGGGCTGAGGTCCACGGCCTTCGGGGCTGTGGGCTTCCTCCTGCCGGGTGTTTTCCTGCGGGTTTCAGGCAAGGTACCTTTGGTGGCATGGCCTGTGCTGCGCGAGGGAGGGTCGGGCTCCCTCCCCTCCCCACCCAGCATTCTCTGCAGCGGGTCTCCGCCCGCCTCCTTCCTCTTCTCCAGCTGGTACAGCTGGATGGCCTCCTCAATGCCATCATCGCTGCTGGAGCCAGACGCCTTGGACACCAGGGCTGTGCTCTTGGCTCGCGTGGCCCTCCGCCCAGGGCCAGCACTCCTCCTGACCGCGCCTTTACTCTGCGCTGCTTCTGCAGGGCGGGGGTCCACGCTCTCTGGCTCGGCAGTGGCCTTGGACCTGAGGCCTCGGGGCCGCGCGCTCACCTTGGCTAGCCTGGGAGGTTTCCGGAAGAGAAAGTCCTTGCAGGCTCCCATCACTTCCTGCTGATGCGTCTTGACTGTCGGCTCTTTGCCGGATCTAAATGCTGATCTGACCGCATTATAGCTCAGGTCTGGTTTCGCGTCCACAGAAACCTCACATCTTGGGGTCTCGTGTTGCCTTTTCTCGTTCAGAAACTGTTCGATCTCTGCCTGGATGCTCTGCTCAAAGGAGTCGTCGCTGCTAACGCTAACCGGGGAGGTGGAGCCCCGGTCTCGGCCGGCTCCCGCGCGGCTGCCAGGGGTGCCTCCTGGGCTGGGTGCCAACTTCGGGGGACACGGGGCCATCAGGGTGCTACTCAGAGGAACTTCTGGTTTGGACCGCCTGCCCCCCTCCGTGGCCCCAGGCAGCTGGGCGGCCCCGCTCTTGGCCTTCAGGTACTCCTGGATCGCTTCCTCGATGTCCCGGTCCACGGAGTCGTCGCTGTCCGAATCCAGCACCAAGGGGCCAAAGTCTGCGGCTTCCTCCTCCCTCGAAGGGACAAAATCAGTGCTGAGACCACAGGCAGTAAACGCGGGGGTGGCGGCCAGCCTGGCGTCCTGGCCTTTCTCTGCTCTCTGGCTCCTGTGCACGGCAAGCTCATCGCTCATGCCCAGAGCAGCCTGGTCGCCCTGGAGCGCGCTGATGACCATCTGCACTTGGGCACTCACCGAAGCCCTTGAGACGCCCTCCTTCGGCTCCGAGAAGCACCCAGGAAACCTAAAGCTTCCTGGAGTGCCGAAGGCCTCCCATTTGGACTGGAGAGCGACCACAGGAGGGGCGTTCATGAGAAACATTCTAGCAGACAGGGAGGGGCGTGCGGAGTGGTGGGTCTTTATTTTTCTGCCCCTTTCACATCCTGGATGGAAAGAAAGGATGCTGGCAGGATGCCATTCTGCTGGGCCACGCGGCCATGGGGGACTGCCTGCCGGGCCAGAGTCCAGAGGGCCAGGTCAGAGGCTGACACCAGGCGAGCTGGGGGCGCCGGGCGGGTCACTCATGCTTCCTGGCCTTGCTGTGCTCTGCGGCAGGGGGAGGCCGGCTACGGAGACTGAGTGCTGGACTGCTCTGAGCCACGGGCACCGTGTTCACACAGGACCGCACGCCAGCGTCCCCTCCAGGCCCACGCTCCTGCTCCCGCCGTCCATCTTCTCTGTAAGGGAAATGGGGTCTGGTCACAGCCGAGGCCGTTGGGAGGCGCCACGCGATCAGGTCCGCACGTGCTTCTCCTCGGGTCACGAAGAAGGGCTACGAGGCTCTAAGCGTAGGGGGACTTCGCGGGGTCGTTTCATTCTTGATGCGACAAACAAGCTCCTGAAACAGAAAGTGACGTGAGGTGAGCCATTAAGAAACGATTTCCCCGAACGTCCCAAATCAGTCATGTTCAAGCCTTTTTATTTAAAAATGTCAGACGCGCATCTGTCGGGCAGTCTCACGGCCCGGACTGCTGTGTCTAGCTAATCAGCAGAGAAGCAGCCCCGGACACTGTCCTGTGCCCTTTTCCATCCTGTCTGGGTACTCCGGGCCCCGCATCTCAGGCCGAAGGTAGCTTTGGGCTGGTCTTGGGAACAATGTCAAGGCCTGCTCGCACACAGCCTTTCCGTTAGAGGTCAGGGACCGCCGCTGCAGAGGGGAGCGCTGCGTGCTCGGTGAAGGGTCACGTAGAAAGTGTGACGCGTCACATAACCATTCCTTCCTAACCTGTTGCTCCTGCCTCTCCTGACCACCCGCACCCCCTCCCCAAAATGGGAACGTGGAGCACACGGGATGCCAGAGACCAGCTCTGAAGCACCTGCAGGCACAGGGAAACGACCACGACCCCATAACGTGCCAGGCTGGGCTGTCACCACCCTTGCAACCTCACCGGGCGGGCTGGAGCGGGCCTGCCTACTGGCTTTGCTTTCGACACGGGCCCTCCTCCGCCGGGAGCTTCTGTCCCGACAAGCACATCATCTTGTATCTACACACTCGGTCCTTCCTGAGACAGCGTGGCCGGCCACCTGGGCACAGACATGCCCACTCAGGTGCCACCAGCGATTAACCAGAGGGCACCGTGAATCCAGAAGCCCTTTGCTACTGTGGATTCAGGCCCAAAGAGTGAAACTGTCATGTAAAAGCATTTATTGCAATTCCTTGAAATTCTCAAGGCCACTTTTAGGGAGACGACATCGCAGCCAACGTTTGCAAAGCATTTCAGGGATTTTGTCGTCTTCATTCTCCCTACCCCCCAGCATCCTTTGCCCACTTTTGAAATAGACTTTGGACTGCCACGGTAAAGAAAACCAGAATCATCTGCTACGGAGGCTGAAGGTTCAGCTAGTAAAGGTTTTTTTTTTTTTTTGAAAGAAAGAGCATGAATTTAAGGGTTTGAAATTCAAGTTCGGAAAAACTTAATCCTCAGACCAAAGACTGTTAATAGCCGCGAATTCACAACTATCCGGTGCCCGCCCACTGTCACACTCAGGGTCCCACTGCGGCCCACCGCCTTTCCTGGGACGTCACCCTCTGGGGAGGTTCCCCATTCACAGAGCAGTGGGGACGACAAGGGTCAGGAGAGGGTCTCTGCACTGGCCCGGGGGACCTGTGCCCACACTGCTCGCTCATTGTTCGAGCTGCCTTGGCAGAATGACCGAGATTCCGAGATGTTCGCGTCGGCCTCGGTCTGTGAAGTCTTAAAGGAGAATGTTAACTCCTTAAGTCGCAATAATACGACCTTAAAAAAACTGGCCGGGGGATGAACGGAAAGGCGCTGGGCTGCTGCAAGTTCTATACTAGGCAGCAAAGCCGTGGGGTGGGAGGGGCGAGAAGGCTGGTCTCTACCAACCATGTTCCCCACACTCCCCCAGGGCTCCCGGTGAGCAAAGTTCTGAATTGTCAAATCCCCTCCTGCAAGACTGAGGTGAAAAATTCAGAGGGAATCTCCAGCGACAGCTTGTGGCTTTAAAACAATCAACTACGTAAGATGAATCATTATGAAAAACTCCCCAAAACTATACTTGGAGAGAACCGTGAGCTGCGGCTGGGGGCTCCAGCTTTGTCAAAGGGCCGCCCTGTACCCCCAAAGCCCCGAGCCAGGTGTGCACGGAGGCTGTGGGGGCACCCAGCCCTGCACCCCAAAGCCTGGTGGTGCCGACGTTGAAAAAGCAGCGGAGGGCACCCGGAGACCTTCTGAGTCTCCACACCAAACCCCAGGGAGGACCGACTCTTGCTTGGGCTCGTCACCCGCACAGGCTGGATCCCTGCACCGAATGTCCCCAGATGCATCTCTCGGCTCACCAAAAAGCGGTTCAGCTCCTGGTCTTTCCTCTCGGGTGGCAGCTTCCCCACCCCTGGGTGCGGGAGAGAGGACGGGCAGGGTGCCAGGCCCCAAGGGAGGGCCAGAGCCCGAAGTGGGCGTGGGCTTGCCGGGAGGTGAGGCTCTACGGGGTCGCCTCGACCCCTCCCCGGGTGAAGCTACCAGGCCTCCGCTTGTGACTGGGGGCGCGGGGCGGGGTGTGGGGGTGGAGACCTCCCTGCCGGCCCGGCCCCCTCACGCCCCAGCCCCCGGGCGCCCGGCCAGGTGCGCTCGAGCACCTCCCGCGGGGCGGGGCCGGCCTGCGCCCGGGTCTGTGCCGGGGATGCGCGGGGACCCGGGCGCCGGGGGCCGCAGGGGCCAGGGGCCGGCCGGGGCCCCGCGACCCTCCCGGAAGCCGCGGCCCGGCGCGGGGCGGAGCCGCCTTTCCGCCGG